TCCACAAATAGAGAGATTTTCACCGTTTCGGCTCATTCCCCGCACTACCCTCTCCCGCCAAGCTCACATCAGTCTCATCGCTGCAGTGCTCTAGTGCGCGGGAGGAGTGTGCGGCTATGGAGGGACAATGGAAACGGTTTTGGTTTTGCAGAAACAAAGTAAAGGGTTGTAGGAGGAGGGAGAAGCGCGAAGGAGAGAGAAGAAGCCATCAACGAATCAATGAAGTGTTCTTCTGGCCTGATGGCCGTTGTCTGTTGGAAAAGGCCTTTTTTCGATCGGAAGGCATTTTACGGTTTTGGAAGAGGAAAACCAAAAATGGCACAAGAGAAAGGGATGAAAGAAAAATAAAGAGGAAAAAAAACTCCCAAAAAGCGACCATGCAACGGTTCTCCGTGGAACTATAACTCTTTATGCATCAAAAGCAATAAAATATTAGATAATATATAGGTTATTTATTTTCTTTTATTTTAATTAAGTTCAAAAATGATTCCCTCTTTATTTTTACATAGAAAAATAATTTTTTTACTAAATCATTTAGTTTCCTTGCTAACTAATTATAATAAGAGCATTTTAGTCATTCTGATATTTATACATTTTCTTTCTTCCTTGTTTTCTCTTCTCTTCATTTCTCTTTCTCTCATTTTCTTTCCCCCCAATTTTTCTACTCATCCAAGCAGGGCGTACATTTCTTCATTAATTAAAAAGGACGCGCAAGTTATGGATGCCTTCTTTAAAGATCGCAACGAAAATTGGGTGAGGGGTTTCTATAAAAGCTTGGTTTTCATCTGCTGAGTTTGTGATTTTAGATCATACTAGTATCGTAAAGGAGACAAATAAGTGCATTCACTATTTATCTCATCTTAAAGGAGACAAATAAGTGCATTCACTGTTTATCTCATTAAGGATGCCATAATTAGATTTCTTAGCAACTACTCTTTTGAGGTCCATCTGCCCAGTTCATATTTTGTTTGCTTTGGCGCGGTTTAACTGCAGTCTTTCGTCCTCCCCCCGAAAAAAAAAAATCTCAAAAAAGAGTCAATGATTTTAAAAACGCAATGTAGCATCAAATAAATATAATGAGGACAGAGTTTCTAGTGAGCTGTGTTTTGTCTTTAGCATTAGCTTTCATTATTATAGAAAACCATCTCCTCGATTGTATAGTTGCAGCTTATCCATTTGTCACTCTCACGGATTATTTTAAAAAGGACGAAGAAGATAGATGCCCCTCACGACACATGTAGAGAAAAATATATGCAGACTCTAGATTGCAAAAAAAAAAAAAAAATCAGAAAAAACACAGCCCATAGTTAATTATATATCATCACCAGATAAACCTTCGATCTCAAAAAAGCGACGCATCTCCCACAATTTTTTAGTCGCTGCAGAGTCTTCATCCCAACTTTATTTGAGTTTTTCCAGATTAGTTAAGTATCTGTATGTATGCAAGCATATACACATTATAGAGATGCTGAGGTGGTTTTACTTGTTAATAATTAGGAGCATGGATGTGATCCTGAGCTAATTCTAAAATGAGTGGTAATTAATGGGACTCATTTTTCAACACATGGTTCATTTAAGAGTTGCAGAGGCCACATGCGAGACGCACATGTTCTTCTGGGAAAGCTCCCCCATTCCTGCCTCTACATTCTACGTACCTCGTTATAATGCCAACCAGAACAAACCACGTACCTTTCCCTACATTCTCTTCCTCGTCACGTTGAAACTACCCTTTATCACAATGACATTTCTGCCCGTCCATCCTGATGGGTGCTCTAATCTTTCACCAAAAATCACTCGGACCATTGGTGAACTTTCAGTGTTCCTAATCTACTATGTAAGATCGGGAATCTTCATCATGTTGCCGAAAGTTGTATCTGTCTTGTCAATTCACAATGTTCACATATATTTGCACTGAATTGGAAAAGGCATCAACTCATTTTCCCATCGTCTATTATTCATCACTATTTCTAGCTTCTAACTTGTTCTGCTCCAACCTTACATGGGACACACCACATTGCAGTCAAGAAAGTGAAATTACAGCACGGTGACGTGCTCGTATCCATGGGTGCTCGCAATCCAATCAAGAACTTCATTTACATTTTACACGAAAGTTTCCAGTAAACCAAAAGAAAAAGAAAAAAAAGGTGTCACTGAGCCACTATAATGATTCACACCATATCGGCTTCCAGCTTTAAACGTTAAAGATATGGGTATTACAGATAATTTCAGTTCTATACAAAAACTTGCCATCTTCCATTCTCAGGTTAACAAGCTTATAACCATAAATACTGCAGCAGCTTTTCTTCTTCCACGTAACATCACTATAAGGCTGCGTGCCCTCTCACTGTTATATATGTTGTGAATCGATCTCAAGCACATATATGTTTATATGTATAAATATCTGGTTCGACTTCGCCTCCCCAGTCAGTTTGATGATTTGTAGTCATTAATACTCTCTCTAAGAGCATAGGTGGTGACGCGTCAGCATGATCTCCAGTCGAGTCGGACCTCTGCGGGCCCCATCACGTGCTGACTCGGCTTCCGGAAGGAAACGATGTGGCTGCTCACCATGAAGGCTGTCACGCGCTCCGACACTCGTATATCCTCCATCTTGATCTCTTGTAGCCTCCGCACATACTCCGGCACGTGCACTAGGTCCCACACCACCCCGATTCCGCCGGGCTTCAGCACCCTCACCACCTCCCCCATCGCCCGCATCCTCTCCGCCGAAGCCTCCGCCGTGTGCGGGCCGTACTCCCTCCCCACCGTGTGCACGAACACCCCTGACACCACCACGTCGAAGTAATCATCCGGGAACGGCAGCCTCCTCGCGTCACCCTCCCTGCACGTGACGTACTCTCCCACTCCTTCCATCTTCGCGTTATGCAACGTGGACAGTGTCTCCCGCTTGGATCCGTCCAGCCCCACGACCCGACCCGAACTTCCTTCCTTTTTGAGCTGCGTGGCGACGGCGTTGAGGAGGATGCCGCGTCCGCAGCAGCCGAGGTCGAGGGCTAGCTTCACCGAGGACCAGTCAGTTACGGCGGAGACAATGCGCTGAGCCATGTCGTAGTGAAGTGGGACGGAGGAGTAGAAGAAGTTGGCGGCGGCGAAGAACAGGCAGAGTGCGGAGAGCGCGGTGACGGAGCCAGTGAATCCGGCGGCGAATCGGGCGGACACAGCAGGTACGGCGGCGATTGATAGTAATCGCTCAAAGAAGACGCAAATGGGGCCGAAGTAGAGAAGGTAAAGAACGGACAAGACGGCGAAGAGGATCGCTTGACACAATAGGAAGATTAGTGTTTGCCATTGGTCAATTCCGTAGATCGCGTAGATCTGCGTCCAGTTCCTGCTCGTTGATTTTCCCATTCGTTGGAATTTCTTAGACGACTCAAGCTCCAACTCTTGATCACTGTTACTCCAGACTGATCAAGGGATAAAATCTCTGCATTCACATAAACAGTATGTAAGTCGTCATCGTTTCCTAGGCCATAGACCCAAAATTTATTGGACACAACATGCCAAACAAGTAAGAAAAAAAGAAATTTTCTGCTATCAAGCAGAGAACCAAAAGAGGACATTAGTATTCTAGCATTAATACAGTAAGAAAAGGTTCTCACTTTCAGGTACGGATGCTTTTGATCGTGCTGAAAACAATATCAATCAGATCCAAAAGCTGCAAGAACAGAAATCTGAGGCGAGCCCAGGACGAGAAGAATCCAGGGAAACAGAACACAAAGGACCAGTTATCTCAACTCTCAGCTATGATTTCACATAAACCTAGAAAAACAGTAGAGTTTTAGTAAAGGTAGCCCCCATAGACAAACTCTGTGACAACCTCATGGCCTTCAAAATTATGCAGATGTCAGGAGGGGCACCTAAGAAGAAGATGACATATGATAACGCGCTTTCACTGGTGGCCGTGATAACCAGTAATGTCAGATAAGAAAGGAAGGGGAAAAAGGTCAAGAAGCTGTGGGAGGAGTGGGTGATAGCAAATTCTCAACCTTTTGTGTAATTGCTCACTCAGTGAGTGAGGGGCACGATTTGCGAGACAGAGAAGGGGGGAAGAATAGTGATTGGATTATGAAATGGGACCATGCTCCGTCTTTCTCCTTTTGAATGATATGTATAGGGTGAACCGGTTGACCGGCATCTAAGGTTGTTTAATTTAATATTATTCATTACTTTAAATTAAAGTCTTTTCATTTCATAAATAGGTTTGGTGGCTATTTTCTATTTTAAAATCAACTGTGTCCAAGCAGATTTCCCGTTAGTGCCTGTACTTTGTAGGCACCTTCCGCCAAAATTAGTAGCTGCAATTAGTACAAATAACTTCCATGCTCTTGTATACAAAGAGAGACTTCTTTGCTTTGTGGGAAATGAAACATATAAATTAATTCCTTCCATGGAAATATGTCATTCGCGAGGAGAGAATAGTGTTATATTTTTCCTCCAAAATTTTAAAATGATCGATGCATTGATTATGGAGAGGCTGTTGGGGGAAAGATTTAGATGAGAGTGGGGGGCTTATTCATAATTAAGTGGTCCTGGTAGACAAAGGTCTAATTTATTAAAACTTCAGTATTGGTTAGTAGTACAATCTCTTTTTTTAATATAAGAACTAATTTGATTTTAAATTTGGTTCTAAATATAAGACCGCAATCTATTTCGTCTCTCATATTTATTCATTTTTTTTCTAAGACAGCCTTTATAGTTGTTGCATATGTTAAATGTTTCATTAAATGTTAAAGCTAATACAGTACTTGATTAACAAGGATATTTTAGAAAAAACAGCGCATATTCATTACAAATACTTAACTTAACAAATTTCCTTACTTTATTCAAATTAATAAACTGTTACCTCTGATCGTAATTATAAGACCTCGTTATAATTAAAACCGAAGGTAGTGATTTTTATATTAAGTATCAGACGTATTAATTATTAATACTGTGAGAGAGCTTTTCTTAATTACCCTCGCAAATGCGAAATTTGAAGAGCTTCATTGAATAATTTTTAATGTTTGAGATGACACTAGAGGGAAACAAATGGCCAAATGTGTGTGGGGGCTGTGCGCCATCCCACGAATCCAGATCTTGTGCTCTCTTTATTTTGTTTATAATTTCCCCTTGTTTTATTATTTTTATGTATGTGTATTTTCTGGCCTGAGTCAATATCATTAGGCCGGATACAAACATTAAAATTAGGATCGCTTTTTTGCCATTTGATTAAGTTGGTAACAGATCACTACTTTTTTTGTTTTCTGTTTTGATAGGACATAGAGTTTTGAATTATTCGATTGTTAAAGTCATTCATTTTCCGGGCAAGAAGAGTACATTCAACACACGAAATTATAAAACCATCTGCGCAATTCCCGTCCAATACTGACATATTCTACGTGGGAGTTAAAAAAAAAAAAGGGTCCCGTGCAATGCGCAGTATATTAATTTTATATATAGTACATTAAATAAATTATATATAGTGCATTAACAGTATAAAGGGAAAAAAATAGAAACAGTCAGTTGGATTTGTCAGTTGAATTCCGTGTCTGAAACTTTCTCTGTGGATATGCTCTGGTAATGCTAAAATGTAACATGGTCAAATAATTGAATTTACTGCGTCTGAATCAGAAAAGGAAGAATTATGTAAATAAGAAACTACTCCTCCGATCCTTAATATATGACCCAATTTTTGAGTTGGTTTTGATACTAAATATAAGACCATTTCTCATATTATCAATTTTCTCTATATTACCCCTATGGATACTTCCTCAACTATAATTAAGTAGAAAAGGGAGAGGGGGTATTAAGAAAGATGATTATGGTGTTTTAGAAAAAATGTGTCACTTTTTTTATAATTAACCAACTTCCTTAATCTAATCAAATTAGTTAAATGAGTCTTATATTAAGAATCGGAGGAGTATATAAAGTTATAAACATGACTGGATTCTTTCCTCCCAACACACTCCTATGGGCTTCTTCCTCATCACTCGCTAGTCCCAGACAATTTTCATATATGCTATTATGCTTTGTTCAGTCTTTGCTTTTTTGTTAAAAGAAAAAACACTTGATTTGAACAAGTGCCTGTAATTGGGAATGCAATCTTCACTTTTACTATGTATCTCTTTGTCTCTTCGCTTATTTCATTGGGAAGCATAAGACCTATCTCAGACACGATTTAACAAATAATTAAGTTTTGATTTGTTTGAAATTTTCATATTAAAAATAAATATAAAATTTGAAAAAAAAATATTATATGCAAAATATATACTCCTCCGTTTCTTAATATAGGACCCAATTATTGAGTCGGTTTTGGTCCTAAATATAATAACCATTTCTTATATTTATCAATTTTCTCTAAATCACCCCTATAGATACTTCCTCAAGTATAATAAAATAGAAGAGGAAGATGGGATATTAAGAAAAATGATTATGGTATTTTAAGAAAAACGTGTTACATTTTTTATAATTAACTAACTTACCTAACTTTTTTAATCTAATCAAATTAGTTAGATATATTTTATATTAAAAACCAGAACAGTATTATATTATCGGGTAAGCGTAATGAAAAAGTGACGCCAGGGCTGGTTAATCTCCGCAAATTATGGAATTAGAGAACGCCGGTCCCAGTGGGCCGCAGCGTGGCGGCACTCTGCGTTTGTGATTTGGGTTCCTGTACGGCTCTGCTCAGTGCTCTCCTCCAGTTATATTTACCAAATTCAAAAATAAAACATTTCATTCCAAATTTTATTTTATGCAATGCTTGGAATTTAGATTCTTAAGCATAAAACGCTCAGTGATAATCATTCGCCTTACCTGTTCTCTTGTGTGCTTTGGGATTGCATCATATATTCTTCAATTAAATGCTTAATGATCTTGTCGCCATAATAAGATATACTCATCTGATTCTAAATGTAAGACTTGTTTTATAATATAATTTACACTATAAAATAGGTCTTATGTTCAGGATTGGAGGGTTTACACAACAAAATTGATCTTATATTTAAGATTGGAGGAGTAGTTGTTTAGCATAACATGACAAGTATGTACATATATGTTGTTTTCATTACCAATGCACTTATGCACAGTTCTCTGCAAAAAAAGTATACCCTTCTATTATTTATGTTTTAATCAGAGAATTTGATTGTAACAAGATAAAAGCTTTGGTTGAAACTTGTGTTCAAAATAAATATCAATATACAAATAACTTTTTTATTTAATGGCACGGCACTCCACATCGTCTTTTATAAAATTGTGAATCTTAATAGAAATTGAGTCTAACAAGAGAAAATAATCTTTCATAATATAGTAGTGGTAGACTACTATTTTGATTTATTATTTTTAAAAAAAAGTGCCTGCATTTACCATTCAACAATTTTTCAAATAAAATTAAACTTCAATAGAAAAGAAGACATGTGCCTAAAAAGCCAAGAAGAAGAAGTTGTAGATTTTATACCCTAATATTGTAAAAATAAGGTGGATGTGTTGATCTATATCCTTTAGTGGGTTTAAATTGTCCTGGGGAAAAAAAAAAACTATGAATACATGTGATAGGGAGAATGACAACAATATACCTGTTAAATTTTAAAAAAATAAATAGGTCGAGCTAATTATTTTTACAATGGTTTTTATCACTTTTATAATGATTTTGACAAGTCAAAATCTGTTAAAATTACCTATTTGTTATTTTAAAATTCATATTTTTCTGTCCTTCTCCCTCTGTGATACTGGGAGAAAGGGAGGGCAAATATGTCCCACCAGGAGAGGAAAATGCGGGAATGAATAAATGGGCCGTGTTGACGAAGGGCACCAAGAATTCAGCACGCCGACACTGCAGCCCTCTATAACTCCAACCAGACACTAGATGACAAATTACCCCCCGCCAAAAACTTTATTAATTGTTTTATCCAACTGGTACTTTAGTAATCTCATACGTAACAACTCCGGTATTAATTACGCTGCTGTGGGAATCAAAGCCCCCTGAAACAAGGGAGTATTAATTCTATTCATTTTTATCCACCCTTCATACGATCGGTAATTAATTAATTTGAGATTCCTTAACAGGAACTTTATTCCCAGGTAATTTTATTTTTATGTAATTTCTGCCTTTTTTATTGTTTTATCTTAATTCTTCCACTTTCCTGCAAGATTCTCACCACCAGCCATTAGGATAAAGAAACCAAACAAAGTAACAAAAAAAGGCCAAATTTATTTTGGCTCTAAGGTGATTCTGTGTTTTGCAAACGTGAAATATTAAATATTAATTTGCTTCAAAATTTAAACACCAAAATTCAAAATATAATGCATCTTCGTTGAGCAAATCACGGCTGTCGTGGTCACAACGACAACGCCCAGCCCCATATGCTGTTTTCTTCCGCGGATCTAAATTAAATGTCAGTATTTTAAAAGTAGGACATATAATTATACATGGTTAAAAAATCTGACATAATAGATATAAATAATTTGATATGAGTATTATATTTTTTTTATATTACCCCAATCTTAATTATAAAACTTTACTTACAGATTATGAACAAAATTTTATAATTAGGATTGGAGGTAATATCATCGTGTGTGTTATTTTTTTCATGTAACTATTTGTTGTCAACTACACAACTATGGCTCTGGGCTAGGTTCGAGTACTGTTCGTTCTAATTTTAAAATGGTTTTTTAATGCGATTTTTTATAATTATGAAGTTTCATTATAAATCAGTCATAATCCTCACAAGATGTCGCATCCCACGTATAAGACCATGGAATGAGCTAGTGACGCTCTGGTTCTGTTATTTACTTTTCGGGAGGGTAGGATAAGCATATGGAAACTGTCATGATACAGTTAGAGAGCACTCTCCTTTACAGTAGATAGTTATTTTTTTAAAATGTGTATATATTAAATAGAGGTAAAGTTGAAAAGTTGCTATATTTTAATGAAGAGTTAATGCAGTTTAAGGTTTTTCTTGGTCTGTGTGAAACATGTTGGAAGTGCCTTATAAATAGGACCAGAGAAGTAATTTGTAATGCAGGGCGAAAC